ATGGTATGTTCTCGGGCAACTTCCAGGGGCATTATTCACAATAAATGGCATTCATGGCAAATCTGCCAAAAATCACTATGTTGTTGAATGATAAATTATTACTACTTCAAAAAACTTGTAGGAGTCAAAAAGCAACCAACTTTTACGCCAGTTAACTAGAACAATTGTATCACACTCGCAAGAATTTTCTCATAGCAACGAACTTTCTCATAGCTTTTATGTTCAAGTAATGGATATAAAGTAGGCAAAAATGCTTTCTACTACCTCGGCTCCTTAATACTCCCTCCCTTCCTTATTATAAGAGCAAATAACCAAATTATGTTGATAAAAAAAAACAGTTTAAAATTAGTTGAGGACAATTAATATGTAAAAAGTATAATGTTTTTTCTAACAATGCCCCCATTAATAAGAGAGAGAGAGCACGAGAGAGAACAATTAAATTATTAAAAGAAAGAGAAGTGGGAGGGAGGAGGAGAGAGTATGAGTTGGAGACAAAATAAATAGGGATAAAATAGGAAATCAATACAAAAAATAGATACAATTTTTAAGTGTCTCTTATATATGGGAACATGCTATAAGCATCAAATGTCTTTATAATAAGGAACGGAGGGAGTATAAATTTAGTTGACTAATTGGAAATATTAAGGAATTTACTGAATCACTTAATTATAATATATGTTATATAATCTCTCTAAAATACTTATATAGATTATTAGATTATATATCAATTTATAAGTGAAGTAAATTAATTTGAAAAAAAATAATACATATAAATAGTTTAAAGTAATTTAGTAACTTCCTTAACTTTTTCAAATTAATTATTAACTGAGTCTTATATTAAGAATCAGAGGTAGTAAACATATATGTGTATATATATATATATATATATGTATGTATGAGCCCATCTTTATCATTGAAGTAGTAAAGAAACAATTCAAAAGTAATTTTCTTAAACAGTATAATTTCCTTCGTTGATGATAATCTGAGGTATTTGTTATTTTATATCTTGCCACTGAACTAGTGATTTGGGACTCTAGTCCCTCCAATTGCAGTAAACTTTGGCTAATGAATTCAGGCTTCATCCGTCTTTTTCAACCAAACAAAAGAATTGATAAGACAAAAGATATCATATCAAACAATTATTCGGAGACATAAATATAAATCTCATTCACATAAAACAGAACTAGACACCAAAGACAAATGAATCAAAGTCCTACAAAATGTCTAAAGGATCTAGAGTGCTATCCTTGTAGTTTTGGTGTGCCCTAGCCTTCCTTCTATAGGATGTTTTATAACAATAAGTAAGGTGCAAATTTTCTCTGAAAGTTTTCGCTTAGAAGTAATGTTGCCCCAAAAGTTATTTGGGTTCAATGTCACCTAGAAGTTTCAAAATGTGTAGTAATGTTGCCTCATCTCATAGTAATGGGTAATATTTTAATGATAATGGGCAATATTGCTTCATTTTAACACTTTCAGGGTAATCTTAAACCTATAAAACTTTAGGGCAACAAAAACTTACCGACAATGTTGCACCTTAACACTATAATAAATAGAAATGGCCATTTTTTTAGTGTGCTTCTACTCGGAGTTTGTTCTCCCATCCCCTATAATTGTCATTATATCTTGTGATATATTTAGCTTATCTTATGGGGTGTTAGGTAAAACTAAACCATGTTTTAATAGTTTCTAAAAAAAGTTATTTTAAGAATAGATTTTCCGAAGAATAAATTTATAAAACAAGTAAGTTAATTTAATAAAGTGAGCAGGGAGAGTATTTGGATATTAATATCAGAATCACTTTTCATATACAAATTATAAAAAAAAATATAAGTTACTATAATAATTATATAAAAGATATATTTTAATTTATATTTTCGTTTGAGATAATAAATTTGTAAATAATATATTTTTTGCCAGCATAATAAATAACATATGAAAAATATAATTAATTAACTAATACTTAATAGGTATATATATTTACAATATAATACATCATATTATTAATATAAGAGTTAGATAACTAATTTATAAAATATATGCAACCATAATAGGGACTACTTAGGGGCAAAATGGATAAATATAAAAAACAAAACAGAGGGTAGTATGTAAGAACAACTTATTATTTATATGATTGATAATTAATATGTGCATACATATTTATAAAATACAAGATTAAATATATTTTTATATCTTAAACCATAGTTTATACAATCAAAAAGGAGAAAAATTTCACTTTCGAAAAACTATGGTTTCCAATTTAAAAGTGATTTTGTTAAAAAAAAAAATGATGTTTGAATGATTTTTCTCAACACCATAGTTTTCTCTCCAAAACCATGGTCGAAAAAGTACCTGAACACCACCAAATAGTTAATTTTTATACTGTTTCTTCTCTTATAACCAAAAGAAAAAAAGAAACTCTGTAAAGGTATAAAATTCTAAACCTACAAATCAGTTTTAAAGTTTAATAATATGGAGCCCAAAGAAACGTTCTAAACTTTAATAATATTGCAAAGGCTGCTTGAGAGAAAAATAAAATAGAATAATTTGACATACTAAAAAGAATAGTGCGGCAGACTTAGGGGGGGTGTTTGGATGAGGCAAAACCATGGTTTGCAAAATAGTTCTGGAAAATAGATTCTGGAGAGAATAGATTTTGAAAGAATAGATTTTCTGAAAAAGTGATTCTGATAAAGTGAGAGTGTTTGGATAATTATTGTTAGAAGTGCTTTGATATATAGAAATTACTAAAAAGGACATAAGTTTAAATGATAATTACATATAAGATATATAATAATATATGTTTATTTGAAGTAATAAATTTACCATAATATATATTTTGGCAACATAATAAATATGGCATAAATAATATAAATAATAAGAAATTAGTGTGTGTATATATATATTAATAAAATAAATAAATATGTTTTTAGAGAAACATTTATTTTGCAAAGAAAATATTATTATTTCTTAAAGATTTTAAAGATGAAATCCCATAATTTTGTTTCACAAAATTAAATAACCACACACAAAAAAAATTTCATATTAATTGTCTTCATAATAGAGGTTGCAACGAAATATATTTGTTCAAGTAGGTTTTTTTAACAACACATTACATTATCTGAAAAGAAAAATAGAAAATAAAAAGGACATAACTACTCTTATATGTAGTGAACAATTTGATCTCTTATAGAGTCACGAAGCCGACCATGTGAGATGAAGAATCTACTGATGAAGGTATATGTGAAGATCCAACTCCATCATCATCATTTTCTTCTGCATAAGAACCTTCTTGTTCAAACTGAATGAAACCAGGATCAGAAATGGATGTTGATCTAATGAAGTTATGTATGGCCATCGTTGCACAAACAATTTGAACTTGTGTTGAAAAGTCATAGCTCGGCATGTTTCCTAAAATTGCAAACTTACTCTTCCAAACTCCAAAAGTTCTTTCGATAGTGCTTCGTAGACTTGAGTGCAAATAATTGAACGCCTCATTGTCATTTTCAAGTGTAGATGACCTTCGGAAATCAGAAAATGGGTAGCGTTCACGTCTGTAGGGACCAAGGTATCCCATGGGTGTCGGATAGCCAGCATCCACCAAATAATATTTGCCTACATGAAATATATGATTGGTGTCAATAAAATTTGTTTTCTAACAGTTAAGTATAAATAAATTGTAGGAATTTAAAATATACCTTGAGGCGGATGGGGAAAGTTCATGGAAGGAGTTGTGAGGGCATGGTCAAATATACGAGCATCATGCGCACTACCTTCCCATCCGGCAATACAAAAGTGTGAAGCATGTCCCAATCGCAAACCGCCATTACATTTTGCGTCACTCTTCCTTTCCGGTTAATAAATTTTGTTTGCTCAGTTGCATCAACAATGCATGAAATATGTGTTCCATCAATTGCTCCAATAGCATGTTTGAAAAAGGCTAGTATCGACCACCGGGCCGTATTTTTGTATGCAAATGCTGAATGTGAAACGTTGGATCTTTTGGTTTGATGTGGTCATAGCAAGTCTACAGCATGCCAGTAAGACATTATGAAAATGTCTACTAATTGTCTCCCCTGAATGCTGAAATGAAATCTTTCTTGCTGCATCCTACTACTAAGCGCATGGCCAACGGTATTTAAAAACATTGCAACCATTTCATGTATCCCAACATTTCTAGTTTCTCTTAGACCGTGTTGTTGCAATTCTGTGCAAAGACTAAAGAACACTTCCCTTTCCATCCTAAACATGTTATAACAACGAGTGGAATGGCCTTGTAGAACGTCCCTTACCCATGCCTTGCCTGTATAAATACTTGTATGCTAGGGCTCTTTACACAAATGAAGAGAAGCATATCCACCAACCGCTATTGCAACTTGATTAACCCGTTTATTTCGTCGTTTACGATACTTTTTCGCAATTTTAATTTCATCAGCCATTTTTTGTCTTGTCCTGTGCACATAGACATAAAATTCAGAAACCCTGATATGAAATTACTTAACATTTAACAAGAAAATAAGTTGTTTAATTCCTACAAAAATTCAGTAGTCACATAATACAATAGTCTAGTTACATCATTCCTAAAAATAGATACAAATTATCGCAGTCATCTTTTAAGCAACATAAATGAAGTCTCAATCCTTAGTTGCATGCTTCAAGAAGATTAGTAGTTTTTCCCTCTTGTTCTTTAGAGCCACATACATCTCCCTTGCAGCTGGCTTGTCCATAAGAAGTGTTGTGCACCGGCCAAACAGATTAGGATCATCAACAATTTCATCAACTTCATTAAGGTGCTCCATGACTCCTGCAATTGACGTCTCATAAGCATGTGCTTCTTCTTCTAGCTTCCTAGCACGTGCTTCTGAAATCTCTTCATGTTCACGCTGAGAATCATTTTCATTTGCCTGAGCTATCCTGCTTAGTGCATCTGCTATTTTCATAGTGGTAGTAGATTTCTTCTTCATGGATTCACCCTTTTTTCTAACCCCTAATGAGCTACTAGGTCAACTGCCACCTGTGCTTCTACCCCCACGAATGGTTTCCTGTCTCATTCCAGTGTTGCCTCCACTTCCTCCACTATTGTCATTGAATGTGACTGAATTAAACTCCCCGCTTATGCCAGTTGGTGCCCCCAAAATTTCATCACTATCTCCAGATCCTTCTTCCATATCATTTTCAGGAACTCCTTCGCTTGGAAGTGTCATGGAAGAAGGTGCCCATGACTGTGGTCCAGTCGCAACTATAGACCCAAAGAGTTGAGTCAATTCAGCCCGAAATTGAAGCCCTCTTTCTCTAAATTTCTCATAGCCTGGAACTTTCTGCGCATTCAACGCCAAAAATATTATACATTATACAAAAACGTTAACATGGGAGAAAATACAAGCTCAAATAAAGTTAAATGATTACCACTATTTTCTTCTCCCACCAATCATCAGGGGCACTAACAGTATTCCTTTCGGCATCCCATCCTAAACTTGTCTCACGAGCAGCCTATCCCATAACTGCCACTCCTTTCGCAAGGTATCAAATTTGTTCTTCAATTGGATTTTCGTATAAACTCTCCCAGTCTTTGCAGCAAAGTTCTCCTCAATACTTGTCTAAGCAGGCTTTGTCAAACTAGTTCCTCTTCTTCCCCCTTTTTCAACTTCTTCAATACACAGGTCAATAAAGACCTTTGTGGCTCTTATATCCCACGAAGCTTTGCTATTTTTTTTATTCATTATGCTATAAACCAATTACAACAGTTCAGTTATCACAAGTTCAACCCAAAAGGCATACCATTCAGTTCAGGAGATATGAATATAGGATAGTATTTAACAAGTATAGCCGCGTGTTTTATAATCCAACGGTATACATACACATTAATAATGACTTTTTTTCCCAGGGGAATTCTTTTCGGTTAACTGACCCAATTTGGCTACATATTTCGGTTAACCACTATAACACTGCAAAAGCAACCATCAAGCACAAAAGAGAAAAATTCAAGTGTCCTGTCTCCAAAATAAAATCTACCAAAGGGAAAATAAGATCAAAAAACCCAGATTTGATCAACACACACGAATGCTCTGTCTCTCATACACACACACACACACGAAGCACAACCAGTCACAACCGAGATCTTTCCCATCGTATACACACACACGATTACCATCAAACAAAATGAAGCCACAACTAGTCACAGGCGGCGTTGGCTAAGAAGATCGAGCTTAACTGAAACTCAACATTGTTTTTGGTTTGTCAATAACATAATTTTCTGTCATATCTGATCGGTGTCAAGAAAGCAACCAAAAAAATCAGTCACTACAAGTGAACAAAGCATAGGCAACCAGTGAAACCAACATCTGATTCGGAAGAAAAAAACGACGCTGGACACCTCTGTTTTGGGGGGAAAAAATGACGCTCGACGACCTCTGTTTCGGGGAAAAAATACGACGCTAGACGGATTCATAATGCACCAGATCTTCCATCTCCAGCCACAACTAACAAGGAAGAAGACAGCTCACCTAAAACGTTGGATCTGACCGACGGAAGAAAAGACGGCGACCAGAGCAGCCGATATCCGGAAGAACTCAACACCGAAGATATCAAAAATCTGTGAATGGATCTTCTTTTGGCAAGCCCAGTAACCTCACCAGCGCTGAAAGTCACGAGCTCAACGACCTCCCCGATGGCAAGAAGACCCGTCGAGCTTCAGAAGGGGCGACGACGAAAGAATGAATGCGCTTGTGTTCAATGAAAATCGTCCGCACGGAGTGTGTTCTTTCTTACCACCGTCGAGCTTCAGAAGGGGCGATGGTGATTTTTTCTGAATGGGAGGAGGCGATCTCACCGACGGCAACGAATTTTTCGTATAGGAAGCGACGATCTCACCGTTGGTGACACTAAAAGTAAGCAGAATGGGAGAAGAGAGATCTTTCAGCGAGCATATTTCAGAGCCACATACAAGTTTTCTACCGTTGAAGAAGCCTCTCTGATAGGAGTGATAATTGCGAGCCTTCAGAATCCATAATTTCCCAGCTTATACGAAAACCATGGTTTGGCTGGCCAAAACCATGGTTTTCACCGAAACCCAGGTTTTTCAAAATTTTGGGGTGTTTGGCAATCACCTTTTCCAAACCATGGTTTGGGAGCCAGAAGTGCTTCTAGGGTGATTCCCAAACACCCCTTTACTATACCCTGGCAAAACGTGTGTAGCTTTTAGTTCTTTGTCTAATGAGCTTTTGACAATTGAAATATAAATGCATATCAACTCAAACTAATTGGTTGAACAGAAAATATAATTGAAGAATATGAAGAGACTAATTATACTTACGATAGATTATTTAATTCATACCTATCTATACTTTTCCTTTTTTTTTAAAGGTAAAATCATGTTATTTCCAAGTCACACTGGACTTGAGATTAATCCATTTTAGGCCAAGAGTGGTTAAGGAATAGTGGTTCCAAAAGTATACTTTTCAGAATTCAAACTTGTATTTTTCTCCTTACAGGAGTAAACTACTACCATCTTAACTAACACCTTGTTGTCTCATAATTTCCTTTATTCATGGTTTATTAATGTTGTCCCACAACAAAGGCTTAATTTCCAACGAGTTGCTTGCCACACAAACGAATGTATATTTGTGTTGGGGACATTACATATTTGCAAGAGAAAATAAATAAGCCATTTTTTCTATATGGGATTAATTTTAAAACCTTTAAGACAATTGCATAATTGGATTTCTATTGGGAATTCAAACCTAACTTGTAGGTGAATTTATGCTCACGGCGGATCCAAGAGGGGCAAATTGCGTTTGTTTGTCCCTCATGATTCTCACGTTCCTTGGTAAGGAATGTTAAAAACAAATTTTAGCCCTCCAATTTTATTTATTCCCCTAATTTCATTTATTTGTAATTTCAGCTCCATTCATTCATCTTTGAACCTACTAATTGGCTCAGAGGACAAGAAAATTAATCCACCACCATCATCAATAACTTATTTCTTTCAATATATTAGGGGTTGGGGGGGAGGAGCTTCTTTATATCGAATGGAATGTGCAATCTTTGCCAAATCAAGCTGGAAAAATTTATCATACTCTAATCCTAAATCTTAAATCCAAAACCCTAATGTCTTGCCCGTGAATCATTAACTATTAATATCAATGATAAAACTCAACAAATGTTTATTTCACTCTTTTCAGAAAAAATTCGTTAATTTACAATATAATTTCTTAGCACACAACAGAACCAACGATAGATAATCAAATATACAAGATCTAGAAGTTTATATAATAATAGTCAATTTCATATATACCTTATTAATTTGGTATTCCATTGATCTGATGATTATAAAAAGCATACACCTATTTCCCTGATCGTCACCATTGTCATCTTCTTCTTGATTTGAAACTTCCATGGATAACATGTATAAATTGTTTTTACCAGAAACCATAAGAAAAACTTATGCTTTGGATAGTTGACGGCTACTTTTGTAGCTTTTGAAGCCAAAGTGATGTGCCTATATATATAGGGTGAGGAGACTAGGGTTTTTTCTTTCAGCCTATGGGGATATCACCTAACTGGGTTTGAAAGCGGTGATTCATGATGTGTGAGGTTGCGCACGTGTTTTGCACATGTAGATTTAATACAATTAAGAGAGTTTTAAGTCCAATTTAATCTAAAAAGTTTAAATATATTAAATCTAATGTCCTGTAGCTAATCATATTAAATCATCAAATTCTACTACCAAAACTGGGTGTTCGAGGCACTACTACAAATAATCAAATTTGCAGAAAATTTTTTCATCATCATAAAATCCACCATCAAATTTTGCAGAAGATTTTTGGTCGCAATGCAAGGTAATCTAGCTTGCGAGCTCCTGTTCCATAAGCATGTGGCCTTTTTTTCCCCCGTAACATAAGCATATAGCCATTTTTTGAGTGCAAACCAAATATGCAATTGAAATTATTGCTTTTTATGGAATTTTTACTAATTGGCCCATGGCTCCAAAAATATATGTTTGCGTATGAAAGAATATATTTGAAAGAAAATAATTAAAAATCTATAACCTTTTTCTTTACCCCTCAATTTTATAAATTTATTTTTCAAATTCCTAATGTTCTTGACAAAAAATACCAGCATTAGAATTGAAATGTAGATAAACATCCTCAATCATCAACATATTAAGTTTAATTTTCAAAATAACAATAATTATTACAAAAAATTACCATTTAATACTAATGGTGGTAGGGTTAAAGAACATAACTAAGAAGTTATTTTTAAAAGGCTAAAGTATTGTTGAGTCACTTAAGTTTACATAAAATTTCATTTTAATCCTTGAAGTTTAATAAATATATTCTTAGTCCTTTAAATTTAACCCCGTTAGTTGGGATATAAATAGGTCAGGCGGCCTGTAGGGACCTATAGCCTAACCTGTAAATGGCCTAACCTAATCTAACCTATTTAAATATCAAAACATGCTTAGGTCTGTAAAAGGCCTGTTTACTTTATTAGGCCAGGCTCAGGCCTGGTAATAAGTCTATTAGGCCTGTCAGGCAGCCTGGGACCTATTATCTTTTTTTTTTTAGGCTAAAATTGTAAATAGGCTTGGTTTGCTTATGAGTAGTTATTAGTTTGGACGAGTAAGATTTTGGTCCAAGCCGGCCAACGCCCCTTTGCCTCTTATATTTTTTGGTGCATATGCCCTTATGTTTTAATTGATACATACAGAATAGTCTTTCCCATTCTTTTACGAGCTCTTTTTTTTTTATTGTTCTTTTGGCCATTTGGCTATCAATGTATATATTATGCAAAGACATTAAACCTCCTCCCATGGTACTCTCGGTGTATCATGGTTCCCTACCCATATATTTATTTTAATAATTTGTTATGGAAAAATATGAATAAAAATTATGGGGGAAATACCCGTGTAGATTCTGTAGAAACAGGAGCACTCATATTGAAAGACTTAATGCTTTGCGGTTTGATGGTTTGTTGTAATTGTAGCAACTAGCAAAAACAAATTGTGTTAATTTGATAATTTCATATTTTCTATTTGTATTTTAGATAAATTGGGTTGAATTATTGTAATTTTGAATTTATTTATGTGTGTTTGAAATTTGTTAAAAAAATAGGCCTCTTAACATGTCACAGGCCAAGATAGGCCTAATTACAAGCCAAGCTTAAACCAAACAAAAGGCTTTTCACAGGCTGCAGGTCAGGCTTAGGCCAATAGGCCTCACCACAGGGCAAGCCTATTAAGGGTAAAGCCTGACCTATTTCCACCCTTCCCGTTAGTCTCACTAAGCAAAAATACTCGGCAATTTCTAAATAATGACTCGACATTTAAATACTAACATTAATTTTTAATATAAAATATGTAAACTAAAAAAATTTTGAAATAAAACATAAAAAAAGATGTCAACAAACGTGATTATTTCTATGATAATTTAAAAATACTTTTAATTTTAACTTTTTAAATTTT